TTTAGTTGTATATATTCTGCCTTAACAAATTAATACATTTCTGTCCAAATATCAATTCTGTCACAAAATGTGGAACTTTGAGACACAGACCTTTCTGACAATATGTGTTTTGTCAAGATTAGAAAAGGTTTTGATCATAAATTATGAAATATAATGATGCCTAAAAGGGGAGGAGCCTGATAAAATAATTTGGAGTACCGTTTCTATGGTAACACAACGTTCAATCATAAAACGGTTTTCACAGGATGAATTCTGAGTTTATAAGCTTTCAAATGATACCTAATTTATGATAACTGTGATATAATAAAAAAGGCGATAAAAAAAAAATATTATATTTTAGAGGATAATATATATATATTATAATTTTTAGAGGATAATATTATATTATAATTTTTTATTGAAAAATACTAGATTATATGTTTTATTATGAACTTTTAGCATAAAAACAGAAGTTTCAATCATTAAAAGTGGGTGCATCGACTTTTTGTGACAAAGGTCAGACCTCCTATTATGATGCAGATTTTTTGAGGTGCACTCTTGTCATAAATTCATCAATTACTCTTCCTACATAATTTGTAACACAAAACAGGGGTAGAATATCTATTTAGAAGTCTTTGACCTTTCCAACGATATATAATTTGTCATAATTAGATTAGGATTTAATAGAAATATAGTGAAGTAAAGTTAGGCGTCCCGGTAGCGGGACGGTGACAGTTAAGGGGTTAAGGAAACCATAATATTGCCTATTGTTATAAATGAGAAAGAAAGAAAGAAAGAAAGAAAGAAAGAAAGAAAGAAAGAAAGAAAGAAAGAAAGAAAGAAAGAAAGAAAGAAAGAAAGAAAGAAAGAAAGGGAAAAGAGAAGAACCAATCCTGCCCAGTGTGATCTCTTTAGATGAATGTTTGAATTGACACTAAATCATATAATATCAACATGTGAATTGTAAACCCTTTTACACATGCCATTCAATATGTTTACAAATCCTTTAATGCTGATATAGTGAATAAATTACACGTTAACGTTGCTTTTAATGTATTTATAATAAATTACACTAGCTAAATCTTTTTAGTGCCATCACATTAACCTGTTAGCCAGCAACCCCACTTTTGAAAAATCCCCAGAAATCATTAAAATCTGAAGAGGATAAGTCTAAAACTCTGTATTTAGTTAAATGTTTTTCAAGATCATGTCATATGAATTTTGATTAGACTCTAAACTGATGTTTATTGTCATCTTCTAAACATCCATTCATCTATTGTCTCTATTGTTTTGTGGTGCAAACGAGCCCCATTCAGTCTCAGTCTCCCCTGCAAACATTCACACCTCTCCGGCCTGGTTATGGCTCTAAATATTATTTTCTTTTGTTTTCATTATAATTACTAACGACTGGCTATTCACGCTGTTTCAATCCTCTCATTTCTTTTATCAAAGGTCTCACTTCACATTTGAAACTGTATCAAATTCCCATCTTGAAAAAATACCCAGTAAGCATTCCTATTTAACATTTTTCATAAAAAAAAACAAAAAAAAACAGCTAACGTTAGGTGGCAGGTGCATCTAGGGCTAGCTAGCATGTTAGCTTAGCACACCATCAATACACAACAATTTATGAGATTAAAACTATGTTTTTTGCTTCAAACTTACTTTATAACGCAAGTGTTTTAAATAACCTTCTGTGATCTGATTTGGCTTCGGATAAAAAAAAAAAAATCTGACATAAAATATATTATTTTTATAGTATTCTACACAATGATAAAGTCTACTCTATATCGATTAGCATTATAAATATAATCAAATACCCGACATGGCTAGAAGAACACATATCAATCACATACCGTTGCAATCATGTTTATTGTCTCCAAAACATCTTTACCTGCATGTTACAGCGATCTCTGGAAGCTTTGTTTGTGTCATGGACTTCCTGGAAGGTCACATGATGGCTCTTCTTCATGTGTTCCATATATGGACTAAATGTGCATAGGGCGCCCTCAGGCTGCCAGTATGGATTGAAAACACCGTACATCAGAGTATCCAGCGCTCAATGATTACATCGGCCCATTTTGGGTATAAATTCAATACATATAATTCCTCTCTATAGAAATCTGATGTAAACCTATAAGAATCTATCAATATTTCTCCAAATGTGCACATTTGTGAGCTAAAAGCCCTGAGGAACGTTGTTTTGTCAAGCGCTGTCATGACGACAGCATGATGAAAGGAGTTGTTTTTTGAATGGGAGCGGCTGACGCTCATAATTCATAAAGGTATCTATCGACACATTTTTTCATTACATAACTCCTGACACAAATTAATACATAACTGTCACAAGTTTCTCAGAATAAAATAGTCCTTAAATAGTTTAACTTCAGTCTTATATTTTTAAATGATGTATAGTTTGTCATTGTCAAGGTAATAACATTAAATCTGATGGTAACTTTGAACTATTTAAATAAAGAACGATTCAGTGCGTCGACGTCCAAGGCTTACAGGAAGGTTAAAGACTTTTATTTACTTGGACATAAAAATAGTCATTCTGCTCTGCTTAATGCTTATAGAGTTAAAATATGTGTAGGCTACGTAAGTTATAAGAGGTTCACATTTTAGATAGGCCTACTGCCAGTGCGTTAATTTTGTTTCAATGTCAGTATAAATGCACAAATGCATACACTTTACAAACGAATACACTTTACGCATAGATACGCAGACAAATCAGATGCTGGTCTTGCGTGCATACAGAGAAATCTCGATAAAAACAATTCTAAGAGATTTTTTTGTTGCTGCTTAATTAAGCCTTTCATTGTGCACTGTCTGTTTTTATTTGTTACATGTTTTACTTCATACCTTGCCTGTACATTTATGGCAGGATATCGACAGCGTTTTGAAAGCTAAGCCTTGAATAAAATCAAATCGTGTGGGTGGGCAAAGATGCTTTTAGTGTTTGCCAGCGACCTGGCGTCAGCAAAGTTGGTCTGTTTGTGTGTGTGTGTGTGTGTGTGTGTGCTAGGTGTAAATGTTACAAACACAGGAATCAATAGAGGTGGTTGAATAATGCTTTAGAATCTGAGCTACAGGTTTGGCCTATAATCATGCATAGTTTGGGTTCTCCTCATAGTATAATGGAGTGAGGTTTGCTTTGAGCTGTTCTATACTGCACTGACTGCTCCAGACAGAGAGCCAGGGGTGGCGGGCAAACCTGCCTCCGACCCAGGTCGGATCACCCTGCACGGGCTGGCCGAGGAGACCCGTGTGCCTGGAGCTCACAGTGCACCTCAACGTTATGGACTTAGGTTTTGGAGCGAGCCCGGCCCTGGAGTCAAGCCTCGGGGTCAAGCCTCCACGGAGGACCAAGCCCCAGGGTCAAGCCCTGGGAGTGCCAAGCCTCCGTGGATAACCAAGCCCCCAGAGTCAAGCGCCAGACTCCCAGGGAGAAAACTGACACCGCCGAGCTGTTAATTGAGCTCCTAATTGAGCTCTTAATTATTTAATTGAACAATTAACTATCACATAAGTTGTCCTACCCCACATTTGATGTTTCCATTTGTTTCATTTCTCTCTCTCTCTCTCTCTCTCTCTCTCTCTCTCTCTCTCTCTCTCTCTCTCTCTCTCTCTCTCTCTCTCTCTCTCTCTCTCTCTCTCTCTCTCTCTCTCTCTCTCTCTCTCTCTCTCTCTCTCTCTCTCTCTCTCTCTCACACACACTCTCTCTCTCTCACACACTCTCTCACACACACACACACACACACACTTATAATGGCTTATGTGATAAATGACTGTGATACAATAAGCCTCATTCTTCAATGAATCATACATGTTTAGACCAAATGCCCATAAGTCAGCCTGGCTTGTAAACTGATGTCATAGCAGCAACGATTTTGTTTAAATTATTGATTCAGAGTAATTTTTTTTCTGCAAATAGACGATTTTAAATTACCCAACCGAATAGTAAATAAACAAATCAGGCAGCTACTGAACTGAATTTAGCTATGCTATTCCATGTGACATACAAATGAATAACTTTTTTTCCCCATCATCGCCTATAATGTAACTATTATTGCTCATTTATTTAATTTTTTTTTTTATTTTTTATTATTATTTCCTTTATTATTACTTCCATTTTAATATTTGCATGTGCTGTACCACAGATAACACAGCATTTTTGATTAACTATTCTGATGAACCACAGAAGGCTTAATGTAATATCTAGGATTTATCACTTATAATTAATTAGTAATGTAATGGGTAACATGGACTGGGCACAACAAAATCACATAAGAATGCAGTCACGCAATGTTGAAAAAGATACGAATCAGGAAGACGAAAAAAAAAAAAGATTTCACTTTTAAATTCATCTTATGAAAGACCTTGACAGCAGAGGTGTGAGAGAACATGAACAATGTGGCCTCCCCACCTTTCCTCTCTTCCTGCCGGAGTCTTTTCTGTGGCGGAGTGATTAAGGAGATGTCTTATCACACAATGCCATTGTGTTGTCCTGCCAGGCTGACTGTCTCGTTGGGACACTTAACCCCTCATCGCTAAAAGCTTTTAGGGTCAGATCCGGTTCAGTCTCCACATCAAGTAATGGCGGCTTTTGTCAAAACAAAGGAAATTCAAATGGGGCTAAAGCAGGCCATGTTTCAGGTGAGAAGAAGGAAGAGCTCATCTAAATGCCCCCACATAAATATGGCACAAGACACAGAATGGATGCTTGTTAGTACAATGTCAGTCAGCATGACAGTGTGACATGAGCGTGACTGCATTCGTTTAAGACATAATTCTCATTAGTAAATTACAATATTATTTAAGTGAAAAACATATTTTGGAACATTTATTGCAAGGAATGTTGTCTTTAACAGAAAGATTGCATCAAATTCAATTTGTTAAATGCATTAATGAATCAGAAAGGGCGAATACTGGATAGGCTAATAATCCCTGCTATTGTTAGAATTTGAAGTATAACAGTTTAAGAATCTTTAAATGATGATAATTTGCTTGTTCATTTTCAGGCCATCCGCTGTACTCTGGTAAACTGCACATGTGAGTGTTTCCAGCCTGGAAAAATCCACCTCCGGACATGTGACCATTGCAAGCATGGATGGGTCGCTCATGGTGAGTATCAGTGAGTGTATAAACCAGCCTGGTCATATTGCTTATAGGTATTTATACATATATCACGGTCATGTCATGTTTAGTTTCATTATCATGTCTTGTTTAGTTTAATAGTTTCATTGTCATGTTCTATTTAGTTTGGTGTTCATTGTCACCATCAACTCATTGCCTGAGTTCTCATTCATTTGTTACTATGATTTCTGATTAGTGCACACCTGTTCCTTGTTTCTTGGATTGCCTGTCTCTGTGTATTTAAGCCCTCTGTTCTTCAGTTCAGTGCTCCGTGTTAAAGTTTATGGTAGATGTGTATTTTTCAGTCACTCTCCGTGTTTATTAAATCTCATGTTCCATTAGTCATTCTGCATCATGCATCTCTTTACTGGATTTACTACATACAACCCATGACAAAGCACGGGACCTAGATTAGATTAAGGCAGCAGAAGAAAAGCATAAATGGATATGCGTGTTGTACGCCTGCTACTGCTTTAGCAGTGGGATCGGTCCCTTGAGGACCATATGAGGGAATTTCTAGATCTGGCGTGCCTCACCCACTATCCCTGCCGCTCACTGTGGATCTTCTACAACAACACCAGCCTCAATGAGCGCTCAAGGGCATGTCTACCCATGGAAGGTCCCTGAGGGAGTTTTGCACAGTATGTGGAGTGGGTGCTTGTCAATTGTGGATCTCTATTCACCGTCTGCCCCTTTGAAAAGGACATCGCCAGCCCCAACTCTGCTATGGACCCAGAGCCCTGCCAGCATTCTAGCATGTCCGCTATGCAGATCTTAAGCCAGAGCCCACCACAGGCTCAGAGCCTGAGCCCGCCCCGACGCAAAGCAAGAGCCAAAGCATTTGCCAGAGGCCAATTTCGGCCCAGAGCCCGAGCTCAATGCGGAGTCTGACCAGGTGCATGCACCGGCACCAGAGTCCATCATCAAGGTTATTTTAGTGGAGATTGATGGGATGGATTGCAGCCCTGCCCACACTCTTGTTACTGAGGTGTATGCAATGAGCTGGGTTCCTGCAGAATTATTATTTGATTATCTAGATTAAATCATGTTCCAAGATCGCCAGTCTCCGCTGGTCCCATCTTGTCCCAAGTCGTCTTCATCTCAGCCCAGGTTGAGCCCAGTTCCAAGTTGTCTTTCTCGCAAGTGAATCAGCCAAGCTCCAAGTCTCTTTCGTCTTGTTTGGTCCTGCCCAGCCTTCCTCCTCCTCTGTTGAAGCCATCCAGTTCATTGCCCTCACCTCCGCTGTCTCCCTTCAGCCCATTGGCTCCTACTTCTGTAGTTCTGCCCAGCTGCTTGGATCCACCTTGGGCAGATGAAACAAATACATGACAAGAAATTAAAGACAACATTCTTAAAAAATACCACTGAAAATAATATAACAAGTCACTTGAGGAACAGCTGTGAATGTGCCTACCCCAGACTTACTTCACAACAGGAGTCACACTTTTGTCTTTGTCTCTGGACAATTAGTGATCTGTGATATTGTTTTGTTGAATATCAAAGTATCTGGTTAAGTTTATTTGTTAATGAGGGATTTGTGGTGACGTGTTTAGATTTGTGAAGTAAAAAAGGCGCCCCTGCTGTTGAGGCGAAAGGCACAATAATTAACATGATAATAAACAGCCAGCTGACTTTTTCAATTGTTTACATGACATGGTTAGATTCAGATGGTAAATATCATACACTAAGTTGGGTGTCCACCTTAGAGATAATCACAATTTTTAATAGATAATCATTTAATAGATAATCAGATTTTTAAACAAAAATTTCTGCAATCATACACTATGGGAATAGTGAAAAGCATTTTTTTTAAGGTATGCCTTTAGCCCCGTTGTACCCTATATATATATATATATATATATATATATATATCTGGGCAGATCATATAGTACAGTTATATATATGTATATATATATATAATTGGGCAGATCATATAGTACAGTGAGTACAATTTTTTCTATAAAATCAAATTGACTATTTAAATGTACTCATGTATATTTAATTTAAAAAAATATATATATATATATATATATATATATATATATATATTTATATTTGTATAACTGTGAAATTTAAATAATCTTCATGCAAAAAAAACCTTCTAATCTTTCTAATCTTGAGGGCAACTTCAGTTTACAGACTGTTCATCTTCCTGAAGAAACTCTCTTTAGTTAAGCACTTGTGCTCTCTTTTTAGTAGCACATTTTGTAAGCAAGTAAACTCTTGATTCTGCATCCAATGGTGCTGGCTAGCAAGTGTGTGTTTGTGTGTGTGTGCGTGTGCGCATGCGTTCGTACTTTTAATGGATACTTACGCCCAGGAATGGATACTTGTTATTAAATTAAATGTTTGAACAACTCCGTTTTAGATATTTGTGTGTTGATTATTAAATATGTTGGAATAATTAATTGATTATTCATTCATTGTTTTCGGTTTCGGTTAGCAAGTGCAAGTTTTGGCTCAGAATTTTCATCAGCTAATTGGATGCTGCATGAGGTCTTACAGTGACAGCAGCCTAATAAACCTGCTGCAGTCTGTGTCATTAACACACAAAAAAATAAAATCACTTACTGATCCTGACTGAATAACTTTTAAAATTGAATAAGGATTAAGCTATATTTCATTTATAAAAAGAAAACTATGCAGTATTATTTACACTTGATTACAATTTCTGTACCTGAACTTTGTTCAGCTGTATTTATTTATGCTATTGCTAATTTGTTTATTTGTTCTTATTTTATTACTGTTTGAAATTTATATTAGTTAGTCCAGTTGTTTTTGCTGTGGTATTTTCTTTTTTCTGTTCTTTAGCCTGCTAAATTTTTTTTGTAGGCTGCTGATTTTTGTTCATGGAAATCAGCTGGAACAAAAAACATTTTGCCAAAGACACAAAATAAATATGTTTGATATAAATGTTTGACTAAATGTTATTACCTTACTTTAATCGAATCTGGGAATCGAAAAGAATCAGAATCGATGAGCAAAATCGTAATCGCTAAAATTCAAACCATACCCAACCCCAGTGAGGAGGGAGCGGGGCATCAGTTTAACCTGATCTGTCTTTATCTGTCCTTTATCTGGTCTCCTTCTTTCTCCTCTGAGCCCAGTGAAGTTATGGCTCCTCATAAAACTGGCTCTTTAGCCAGTCATATGCTCTGACTCTCATATTAATCCCTATTCCCTCATTCTACTCTGCACGCTTCTGGGTCTTCATTCCCACAGCTTTTAATTCAATAATAACTGTCTTTTCATTATTTCACTATACTTAAAATAAAAAGCATAGAACGGTCAAAAGGTAGCTGAAGTACTAGTGAAAACATCAAATGAAAGAGATGACAGTCAAAAGGGATAAGGAAAGACAGAGGGAGAAAAGACAGTTGGTTTCATAGAGAGACAAAAGAAAACACCTGTTGGGTTGGGATAAAAGGAAGAGAGACAGGCCTTAAGGGACCATCACAGGGGCCCTTCACCTAGTTTTAATTTCACTGTGATCTGTCAGGACGCTCTCCTTCCTATCCTCCTCTTCTTTTCACTCCTCTCTGCCATAGACTTCTCATTTTGTCTGTAGTGTTGGCAGCCATTCTGACAAGTAGTTCTTCATTTTTTATTATGTTCGTGTCTAGCAGGGTCTGTTGTGAGGCAAAGACCTAGTCAGCACAAAAATCAGTCCTGGACTGAGGGGGAAATCAGGTGTCACACAGACAGTGTCAGAGAGAGAGAAATTTAAGAGAGAAAGAGCAGATAATATTGATGCCACTGTCATTTCTTCACAGAATTGTCATCAGATGAGTGTGCATTTCATTCAGACAGATGTTAGACAAGATCAGTAAACTGAAGAATGTGTGTGTGGACACAGCATATTTCAAATAATATGTTTCAAATAAAAGACAATACACATTTTTCTGTTTTCGTGGGTGCCTTGTTACAACCAGCTTTGTGTAGGCGATTTAAAACATGCTAAAATAAAAGTGTTATATCACTGCCTTTTGATCATGGCCTCATGATCTTAAGATTTCTCTCTGATGTAGTAGTGTTTTCATAAAAAAAAGTGGTAACACTTAACAATAAGGTTTCATTAGTTAACATTAGTTAACATGAACTATAATGAACTGTACTTCTACAGCAATTATTAATATTTGTTAATGTAAATTTTAAATGTATAATACATTATTAAAATTAAAAGTTATATTTGTTAACATTAGTTAATGCAACTGTGATGTAACATGAACAAACAATACACATCTGTATTTGTATTACCAAACGTTCACAAGATTAACAAATACAGTAACAAATGTATTGCTCAGGTTAGGTCATGTTATTATACATTGCATGTTACAATACATTAAATAATGCTAACAAATGAAACCTAATTTATAAAGTTTTACCAAAAAAGTTAATAATTTTCCACATTTTAAATGTACATACAATGTGGTTTCATGCTTGACTTTACATGTTAATGTTTTATTACAATAGTTCATAACACTGTAAAAGTACACACAAACCACACAGCTAAATAGTATTACACAGTACTTATGTAAATACACTTCCTTTGTAATGCGTAAAGTGTGGCCATACATTTAAATAGAAGGCTTCTGATGAAACATACTGAATAGTTTGGTTAGACAATCTTGTATAATATGCTTTTGGCATTAAAGTAAAAAGTTGATCATTGTTTGTTCATGTGATAACAGATATGTTGGTTAAGTATATCTGCGTTGGGTCCCACTTTATATTAAGTTTATATTAATATATAATACTTAATATATAATACTTATATTAAATGTCTTTAATTTAAATGTACTACAATTTAAATGAATCATTTGATACAAAACACTTGTTTTTTTACATTGTACTTATGATAAAAAACACCTGCATGTAATTACAGTAGCAGCAAAACTGTTTTGCAATACAACATGAACATAATAAGTACATTGTACATAACAGTTAGTTTAATTTTAATTTTTAATATTTTTTATTTAGTGTCTATGAAGTGTTAAACTTATTACCAAAACCAGGCTCAGGGGGATTTTCTTATTAAATATAGCTGTATTGTAATTGTGTGTTTTGTTGTTTTTGTGATTATAGCTCTAGACAAGCTGAGCACACAGCATCTGTACCACCCAACACAGGTGGAGATCGTGCAGTCCAATGTGGTGTTTGACATTAGCAGTCTGATGCTGTATGGGACTCAGGCAGTACCTGTGAGGTTGAAGATACTGCTGGACCGTCTGTTCAGCGTCCTCAAACAAGAAGAGGTTCTGCACATCCTCCATGGCCTGGCTGGACCCTGAGAGACTACGTTAGAGGCTACATACTACAGGTAAATTAAAACATAAAAGACAAATCAACATACAAAAATGTATGTAGCATTAAGTAGATAACATACCTGAGGCCATTTAAAAAAGGAACACACAATCACTCAGAAACACATATACCATTAATAAAACAAATTACAAAACGGTAAATATTTTTACATATCTAAACAAGGATATTAAAAGCCATGCATAAAATAAATCTTGGATTTTCAGATTTTCGTGAAAAAATGGATTTTCAGTTCTGTGAATGTAGTTCTGTTATTTTTATCTGTTTTCAATCCTTATTCTCTATATAGAAAGAAAGAAAGAAAGAAAGAAAGAAAGAAAGAAAGAAAGAAAGAAAGAAAGAAAGAAAGAAAGAAAGAAAGAAAGAAAGAAAGAAAGAAAGGAATGAATGAATGAATACATACATACATATGTATGTTGAGGAGAGGAAAAGAAGAGATAAGAAAACTGTCATGACCACAGCCAATAATAGACTATAGAACCACCATGATGCTTTCCCTCCCTCTTGCTCTTTTAATTGGAATCAGACACATTTCTTAATCAAAGGTACAGGGCTTTTGGGTTCAAACAAAACCAAAGTGTTCCTGTATGAATTAGTTAAGAGCAACTGAACATGTGCTTGTGGTTAGCCTTGTGTGTCTGATGCCAATAGCAGAGCGAGGTGGATGGCTTTGGTTTGGAGACCATACCTAAGTGGAACAGCATGCTGAGCTTGAAGGCGGTTTTGAGGCCTTGTACGAGGAAATGGCTTCTGTGAGTAAATCTCTCCCTCTCGCACACTTTTTCTCTCATCATTTGACTGGAAGGCATTGTGGAAGAACAGTTTTTTACATTTGTACAGTCATTTGTTGTGTCTGTTTGTGTTACTCATTGCTCTACCCCTAATGACTTATCGGAAAATCCTTTAGATATTAAATATGACCTAGCAAAATACTGACCACTACAAATAATTAAAAAATAATAATGTTTTTTTTGTGGTTTTGCAGTCAAGTAAATTCACTCAGTTGTTGTGTTTAGTTTGTAATATTTTTCCAGATCTTAGATAGTAGGTATAAAACTTCAGGCATTCAGGCTCTTAGCATTGATATTAGTATCAGTTTTGAAAATAATTCAATTTGTATGTAATACTGCTCTGATATAATTATAGTTCCCTATCGGTCAGTCACTACAACGTAGGTCAGACTGACCAATAGGAATCTCGCTAGAGAGGCCAATCTACTTCGAGTGAAACTAAAACAAGCCAATGCACATTGGCATGCAATCATTTGCATCAGCTGCGCGTCCTCGTCAGCGCGGGTATTTAACAGCAGCTGTTATGATTGCACGCTAGCTTTTTGCTTCGGAGCCAAACGCTTCATGGTAATCCTACAGAGTGTGAAACTTGGCAAGCCTTCGTTGGATCTCTCCTTGTTCGGTGCGGGCGTTACAGCACGGCAGCGCGAGCAGTCTTGTGTCCTCTCTCTTCTGTCTGTCTTTTTTGTTTTGTTTTTTTGAGCAAATTCAAAAAAGCTGTTTTAACAGCTGGTAAGGTGCGCAGTTCAGCGCTTAAAGGCTGTTCTCACAGCCGGTAAGACCTGCCAGCGGAGAGAGAGAGACAGCGCGCAGACGGGTGCACATTCCCGTCTGTGTTCGCAGTGGCTGTTCCCCTGCGTGCTTCAGCACCAGTGAGAGTAGTCCCTAAAAGAGCTTACACAGATAGACAGCGTCTTTAAAAAAAAAAAAAAAAAAAAGATGACTTTCTATCTGTGTGTTTCTGGATGCGGTCGTTACCTGGGCTCACAGGATGGTCACAAGCGCTGCCTCGTGTGTCTGGGCATTGAACATGCTGAGGCAGCGTTTGTGGATGAGTCATGTACCCATTGTGGGAAGATGACCATCGCGGAGCTACGGTCGAGACTCCTGTTCCTGCAAAGGGGCGGAGTCCCCGTGCCTCTGCCTCGTTCCAATCCTCCTCGGAGGGTTGCTTCGGGCGGGGGCACGGGTGACCTGAGGATCACGGTGAGCGCGTCTCCTTCGGGGAACCAACCCCCTAGGAGCCCTCACCCCTCTCATGCTCCGCAGCCAGTTGAGCTTCCATTGGAGAAAGCTGGACCATCCTCGAGGTGTGTACCGGTTGTCTCCTTTGGGGCTCCCAGTGACCAGATGTCGATCGCTGCATCGGAGGGTGGGTCAGACTTCTCTGCGGACGACGACTCGGCACCGCTGCCTCCTTCGGGGGTGCCAGCGGTGCCTGAGACGGACCCGGAGATGATGGCCATGCTCTCCCGGGCCGCCAACGGGGCCGGGCTCGTGTGGAATCCTCCACCGTGTCCCGAACCCTCGAGGTTGGATGATTGGTATCTCGGGGTGGCGCGCGCTGGTTCTCAGCAACCCACCCCAGTGCCTTTCTTCCCGGAAGTGCATGAGGAGCTTACGGGAATGTGGACGGCACCTTTTACTGCCAGAAACCGTTCCGGTGGCTCCTCCTCCCTCACCACCCTTGATGGCGGGGCAGCTAAGGGATACACGCGCATCCCGCCAGTGGAGCGGGCCGCTGCAATGCAGCTGTGCCCTAACTCCACTCGGCGCGGAGAACCGTGTCTTCCTTCCCGGGCCTGTAGGTACTCGTCGGACCTATTCGACGAGGCTTACAAGGCCTGTGGGGAAGCTGCCTCTGCCATGCACGCCATGGCGTTGCTGCAGGTCCATCAGGCCAAGGCACTGAAGGACCTGCACGAGGGTGGTCATGATCCACAAGTTCTCCAGGAACTTCGTGCCGCAACGGACCTCGCGCTTCGTGCGACGAAGGTCACCGCGCGGTCAGTGGGTCATGCGATGTCCACCTTGGTGGTCCAGGAGCGCCATCTCTGGCTGTGTCTGGCAGACATGAGTGAGGCTGAGAAGCTCCGGTTCCTCAACTCCCCCGTGTCCCAGACCGGCCTCTTCGGCGACGCGGTCGAGAACTTTGCCCAGCAGTTCTCGGCTGTACAAAAGCAGACTGAGGCCATCAAGCATATCCTGCCGCGGCGGTCAGCTGCTGCCTCCAACCCACCGCCTGCGGCTCCTCAGTCTGCTCGTCGCCGGGGGCGTCCTCCTGCGTCTGCCCCTGCTCCCGCGCTGCAGCAGCAGCCTCCACCTAAACGGCGCCGTGGAGCCAGTCGCAGGCAGGCCGCCCCGCCCGTCCAGGCCCCCGCCAAGAAGGGTGGCAAAGCCAGAGGTAAGCGGCCCCAGGACGGGCGACCCGGAGATGGAAGGGACTGCTCTCCAGGAGACTTTCCCCCGGAAGAGGGCCGGGTGGAAAATCCTGTGTTTCGTTTTGTTCCGCCGCTGGCCTTAAAACCAGCGGTACCCAAATTTTCAATAAAAGAGCAGTTTCTACCATCTCTGGGTCCGAAGAGGACCCGGAGAGCAGTGGGAGGACAGAATCCTCACCACTCTCATCCGCCTCCTCTGTCGCCAGTGAGCAGCAGTGTGCAGTTCGAGAACGCCACCGAGCCGCCTCCTGCACCTCCTGCCCCGTGGAACCAGGTAAGTGCTGCACAGCACACACAGACCCTGCTACGGGCCGCCTCCCAGAGAGAGCCTCCCGAGCCACGTCCCTGTGTTCCACCTCGCTGCCCCACTCCGGGTACGCCTACAGTCCCTTTGGTCCCGCTTGCACGGTCTCTGAGAGCCTGGTTAGCGCTCCCAGTCCGTCTCGCTGGCTCATTCGGACCATCAGGCTCGGCTATGCGATTCAGTTCGCCCGGCGTCCCCCAAGTTTCGGGCCATCCACTCCACTACAGTGAGAGCAGCCGATGCCCATGTCTTGCGTGCGGAGATCGCAGTCCTACTGGCGAAGGACGCGATAGAGCCGGTCCCTCCAGCCGATATGAGGTCAGGGCACTACAGTCCCTACTTCATTGTACCCAAGAAAGGTGGTGGGTTACGACCGATCTTGGATCTGCGAGTTTTGAATCGGAGCCTCCACAAGCTACCGTTCAAAATGCTCACGCAGAGACGCATTTTCGGATGCATCCGTCCCCAAGATTGGTTTGCAGCGATCGACCTGAAGGACGCGTACTTTCATGTCTCGATTCTTCCTCGACACAGGCCGTTTCTGCGCTTTGCGTTCGAGGGTCGAGCATATCAGTACAAGGTCCTGCCCTTCGGGCTGTCCCTGTCTCCCCGTGTCTTCACGAAAGTCACGGAGGGGGCCCTTGTTCCCATGAGAGAACAGGGCGTTCGCCTCCTCAACTATCTCGACGACTGGCTTATACTAGCACACTCTCGAGATCAGTTATGCGAACACAGGGACCTCGTGCTCACGCACCTCAGCCAGTTGGGCCTTCAGGTCAACTGGGAAAAGAGCAAACTCGCCCCTGTGCAGAGGATCTCTTTTCTCGGTATGGAGTTGGATTCGGTCGCACAGACAGCGCGCCTCACAGAGCAGCGCGCTCAGTCGGTGCTGAAACTGCTTGAACACGTTCAAAGGCAGGACAGCGGTCCCACTGAAATTTTTTCAGAGGCTCCTGGGGCATATGGCAGCGGCAGCAGCGGTAACTCCGCTCGGCTTGCTTCATATGAGACCGCTTCAGCACTGGCTTCACGGCCGAGTCCCGAGATGGGCGTGGCATCACGGCACTCACCGGGTGGCAATCACACCGGCCTGCCGCCAGACCTTCAGCCCGTGGTCAGACCTCTCGTTCCTTCGGGCAGGAGTCCCCTTGGAACAGGTCTCCAGGCATGCTGTGGTATTCACAGATGCCTCTGCCACCGGCTGGGGTGCCACGTACAACGGGCATGCAGTGTCAGGGGTGTGGACGGCTCCCCAACTGCATTGGCACATCAATTGCCTCGAGTTGCTAGCAGTACATCTCGCTCTGAGCCGCTTGAAAAGGTCGCTACAGGGCAGGGACGTACTGGTCCGTACGGACAACACAGCGACCGTTGCGTACATCAACCGACAAGGTGGTCTACGCTCCCGTCGCATGTCGCAACTCGCCCGCCATCTCCTCCTCTGGAGTCAGAAGCGTCTGAGGTCGCTTCGAGCCATGTATGTCCCTGGCGTGCTCAACCGTGTGGCCGACGAGCTATCACGAGCTGTGCTTCCGGGAGAATGGCGACTCCACCCCCAGGTGGTTCAGCTGATCTGGAGAGAGT